TGTATTTTTGGTCTTGCAAATTTCTTCCCGTCACCAGCTACTTCTAGGGGATCAAATCCATCGTCGGTTCTTCTTATAGTTCCCCCAATGTGCTTCACTCTTCACCTGCACACAGCTGAGCACGAGGCAAAATGAGCTACATGCCAGCCGCCACACGCTACACTGCAAACTACACGCAACACTCACGCTACACTACACGCAACACTACACGCTACACTACACGCAACACTACCAAAATGCTGCCAGGGGCAGCATTTCAGGTCAGGGCAGAAAAAGCTGACTGGTATTTTCATTTCATTCCTTAAAAGCCTCAAAGCTCCAAAATGCTGCCCCTGCCAGCAGTTCGATAGTGTTGCGTGCAGTGTAGCGTGTAGTGTTGCGTGTAGTGTAGCGTGGGGCTGCCACGCAACACTGGTCACTTTCACGTGCTTCTTTGAAAAGGATTCTGCTTCATCCCTCCTCCTGGTCCGGTAATCATTTTCTGGCATGCCAGCGCTGCTCTGCCCAGCTTGTGTTGCAATATAGTCAAATCTAAATGCCCCAGGCTTGATGACCTTTAATTCAAAGGTTGATCTGCCGACAAGCTAATGAATGCATATGGCCAAAACATCCTTCAGCTTCTGCACGCTGATTCTTTGCAGTTCTTCAACCAGGCACATAAAATTTCAGTACTGTTGATGGAAGAAATCCTGCACCACTTTCAAAGGCCTACACTTGAAACCGCGCGCTGCTAATTTAAAATTGCTTGAAAACACAGTGATCAAAATGGATTTGCGCGAGTGACGGAAATCCTGCACCACCTGTCAACATGTCATTCAACATTGAGCTTGGGGTACGGGGGTACAAGTTATACATTAGCAAATCTAAGGTTATAGAGGTGGTGCAGGATTTCTTCCACCCACCGAAGAAAGAAAAGGATTTCTTGTATTTTTGGTCTTGCAAATTTCTTCCCGTCACCAGCTACTTCTAGGGGATCAAATCCATCGTCGGTTCTTCTTATAGTTCCCCCAATGTGCTTCACTCTTCACCTGCACACAGCTGAGCACGAGGCAAAATGAGCTACATGCCAGCCGCCACACGCTACACTGCAAACTACACGCAACACTCACGCTACACTACACGCAACACTACACGCTACACTACACGCAACACTACACGCAACACTACCAAAATGCTGCCAGGGGCAGCATTTCAGGTCAGGGCAGAAAAAGCTGACTGGTATTTTCATTTCATTCCTTAAAAGCCTCAAAGCTCCAAAATGCTGCCCCTGCCAGCAGTTCGATAGTGTTGCGTGCAGTGTAGCGTGTAGTGTTGCGTGTAGTGTAGCGTGGGGCTGCCACGCAACACTGGTCACTTTCACGTGCTTCTTTGAAAAGGATTCTGCTTCATCCCTCCTCCTGGTCCGGTAATCATTTTCTGGCATGCCAGCGCTGCTCTGCCCAGCTTGTGTTGCAATATAGTCAAATCTAAATGCCCCAGGCTTGATGACCTTTAATTCAAAGGTTGATCTGCCGACAAGCTAATGAATGCATATGGCCAAAACATCCTTCAGCTTCTGCACGCTGATTCTTTGCAGTTCTTCAACCAGGCACATAAAATTTCAGTACTGTTGATGGAAGAAATCCTGCACCACTTTCAAAGGCCTACACTTGAAACCGCGCGCTGCTAATTTAAAATTGCTTGAAAACACAGTGATCAAAATGGATTTGCGCGAGTGACGGAAATCCTGCACCACCTGTCAACATGTCATTCAACATTGAGCTTGGGGTACGGGGGTACAAGTTATACATTAGCAAATCTAAGGTTATAGAGGTGGTGCAGGATTTCTTCCACCCACCGAAGAAAGAAAAAGATTTCTTGTATTTTTGGTCTTGCAAATTTCTTCCCGTCACCAGCTACTTCTAGGGGATCAAATCCATCGTCGGTTCTTCTTATAGTTCCCCCAATGTGCTTCACTCTTCACCTGCACACAGCTGAGCACGAGGCAAAATGAGCTACATGCCAGCCGCCACACGCTACACTGCAAACTACACGCAACACTCACGCTACACTACACGCAACACTACACGCTACACTACACGCAACACTACCAAAATGCTGCCAGGGGCAGCATTTCAGGTCAGGACAGAAAAAGCTGACTTGTATTTTCGTTTCGTTCCTTAAAAGCCTCAAAGCTCCAAAATGCTGCCCCTGCCAGCAGTTCGATAGTGTTGCGTGCAGTGTAGCGTGTAGTGTTGCGTGTAGTGTAGCGTGTAGTGTTGCGTGGGGCTGCCACGCAACACTGGTCACTTTCACGTGCTTCTTTGAAAAGGATTCTGCTTCATCCCTCCTCCTGGTCCGGTAATCATTTTCCGGCATGCCAGCGCTGCTCTGCCCAGCTTGTGTTGCAATATAGTCAAATCTAAATGCCCCAGGCTTGATGACCTTTAATTCAAAGGTTGATCTGCCGACAAGCTAATGAATGCATATGGCCAAAACATCCTTCAGCTTCTGCACGCTGATTCTTTGCAGTTCTTCAACCAGGCACATAAAATTTCAGTACTGTTGATGGAAGAAATCCTGCACCACTTTCAAAGGCCTACACTTGAAACCGCGCGCTGCTAATTTAAAATTGCTTGAAAACACAGTGATCAAAATGGATTTGCGCGAGTGACGGAAATCCTGCACCACCTGTCAACATGTCATTCAACATTGAGCCTGGGGTACGGGGGTACAAGTTATACATTAGCAAATCTAAGGTTATAGAGGTGGTGCAGGATTTCTTCCACCCACCGTAGTACTAGTACTAGTACTAGTAGTAGTAGTAGTAGCAGCAGCAGCAGCAGTAGTAACAGCAGCAGCAGTAGCAGCCAGCAGCGGCAGTAGTATCAGTAGTAGTGGTCGTTGTAGTTGTAGTTGCAGTTGTAGTTGTAGCTGCAGTCGTAGTTGTAGGTGTAGTTGCTGTTGTCTAATGATTGTAGTTAGTGTAATTCATGTAATTAATAAAATGTAATTAGTAATTAGTGTAATTAGTGTAATTAATGTTATTCGTGTAATTAGTGTAATGAGTGCACTTGGTGTAACTGGTGTAATTAGTGTAGTGTAGTGTGGTGTAATTAGATATTCTTAGTGTAGTGTAATGTAATTACTGTAGTGTAATGTAGTGTAGTATGTTGTATTTGTAGTTGTAGTACTAGTGTAGTGCAGTGGTTATTGTAGTTGTAGTTGTCTGTCTACCTACCTACCTACCTACCTACCTATCTATCTATCTATCTATCTATCTATCTGTCTGTCTCTCTGCAAGCTTGAAAACGAATCTATTCTGCGAGACTTCCTCAATTTTTCAAGCTGACAACATCAAAAACGAAGGAATTCTGTGAGACTTCCTCAATTTTTGAACTTAGCAACGTCAAAAACGCAGCGATTCTGCGAGACGTCCTCAATTTTTGAAGTTGACAACGTCAAAAACGAAAGAATTCGGCGAGACTTCCTTCGAGAATGGAAAGTTGAATGCAGAGCTGACGGCCTAGTACCAATGCGTTTTGCGATTTTTCTACTCCATCTGTCTAAAGTACTGCGCCTGCCACGAAAAAGTGATGCCAGTCGGGCGTAAGCCCTTAAATCCTCCCGTCGACCCCCTCCCCACAACGTTTTTCGGGGTCCGGGGTGGGAGAAAAAGACGATAAAATTACAAGACGCTTTTTCGATGTCCATTTTGGGCACTTTTTGGCGAATTTTCGCTAATTTTTTTTTGGCGTTTGCCAAGGGCCAAAACAGTGCATTTTACAGTGTTTTTGTGCCTTTGGCATGGAAAGTTCTTCTCGCAACATGCTGAAAAATGCGTCAATACCTGTGTTTTTGCTCCGCGGTGATTTCTGCTAGCAGAGGCTAAAACCTTCGTAAATACCGTGGTTTTGGGCTTCTGAAGCGTAAGGAACATGGGTATTTGCGGTTTTTGCTCCGAAAGTGTCAAAAAACGCGAAAACACCACCTATGTGACGATTTTCAGGGGCCCACAAAAATGCGAAAATGAGATGTGTTGCAGCAGCAGCAGCAGCAGCAGCACCAGCAGCAGCAGCAGCAGCAGCAGCAGCAACACCAACACCAACAATAACAACAACAACAACAACAACAACAACAACAACAACAACACCAACAACAACACCAGCAACAACAACAACAACAAGAAGCACAAAAATGCGACAAAAAGATATGTTACAAAAAGATGTGTTACAAGCTGCGGTATGAAAAGCACGCCATACTGTGCTCTACACCTGCGTGCATGTGCCGAGCACATGAACAACACCAACGCTCACACTACTATACATAACCCTTATGGCCTGGCCGGTGTGCGAAGCTCTACAATAAGATGCCTGAACTCCGTTACACGGACGATAGAGATGTGAAGACTGCAGAGGTGGATAGAGAGTAGAGATGTGAAGAAGAAACGATGTGAAGAGGGTAGAGATGTGAAGAGAGTAGAGGTGAAGAGAGTAGAGATGCCAAGACAGTAGAGATGTGAAGACAATAAAGATGTAATGAGAAGTAGATAGTTGAAGAGTCGGGAAGTGAAGGGAGTAGGGAACTGAAGAGAGTAGGAAACAGCAGGGAAACAGCAGTGAAAGGAGTAGAGAATGAAGAGAGTAAGGAAAGAGATTTGTCAGGAGAGCAAAGTGTGTCAGGTCCCAAGCTCCTGAGCTGTCAGCAAGAGAGGGGCTGTCAAGATTCAGAGATGACAAGCGCAAACCAGATGGAGAGAAAGTGGCATCATCAGACAAGGATGTCACTGTCAAGAGAAAGAAATGTCAGCGAGGAAAATGGCAGCATCAAACAAGATGTCGAGAATTGAGAAATGTCAAGGACAAAGACTTCCAAGAGATCACGCACGGTCAGGCGTCGTTCCTATAGGCTCTTCCTTGTCTTTATAGGTTCTTCCCTCTCTCGAAACTTCCGTCACCCGGCTAGGACATGGCTTGTGTGAGTCCTTCCCCAACAAATTCTTGGAGAAAATGAGGCTCCAGCTGCGTTTCTGACAGCTTCGTCTCCACAAACCTGAAGTATATCCAAGTCTGCAGCAGGACCATAGGCACCTGCGAAATGAAGCACGGGGCATCTGCCGAAAGGATCTCATCTGCAGCCGCAGGCCCCACCTTTCTCCTTTGGCCTGCAAAGCTGAACTGGTGCTGCAGAATCTTGGCGACATCGCAAGAGGATATCCCCGATGACACTGGCCACATCATCTGCGCACACCTCCCAGAAATTTGCCCAAAAGCCAAAATCTTGGCCAAAAAAAGTCAACAAAAGAAAGGTGCTGGACAACATTGGAATGGTTCTGGGAGTATATAGAGCTGGAAACCAAGAAAAGCATAGTGCCGAGCCTGGATTTTGTCCGTCGGACGATTGTACTGCTTGGCTAGGACCAGGGCATGCACAACAGCAATGACTCCACAAGGGCCGTTCTTTGGCTGTGGTATGCCGCCAGCCCACCCTGCAAAGCAAGCTCGAAGTCTCTGTGCCGCAATGAGTTTATTTCAACACACTTATGTGTGTGTGTGTGTGGAGTTGCGGGAACTGCCACGTGCAAAATGTCGCCTCCATCACTGTCCAGGCGCTGCAAACGCCAAGCATCTGGAACCTCTTGTGAGGTTGGCCAAATCACATTCCACCAATCTGGCACAGAAGCACTGACCTTTCGAGCACAACAGGCTTTCCAGCATCTAATGTGTCCTAAAAAAACGTCATCACAGATCTTATCATTTTAGAAATGGCAATTCGGACGTTGTTGTTCACATCCGTAGAGAGTTTTGATATGACATGCAAGCGCATCATTACCAGTCGAGCCGTCTCCAAGCCGTTGGAGCCTCTAGCATTTCTGGTTGCACTTCCGCCATTGGAACATCAACATCACCTTTGTCAACTTGCATTGGCAAATTGGACATGCTTTTCAGAATTTCAACAGACGTCAGCAAATACCATATGTCAATATGTCTTAAGACTTAAGATGACTTAAGAATTTCCTGACGTGTCAAAAGCTTTGCCCTCTTGTCACTCAGCAAAAATCCTCAGAATCGTCAAGTTTTGAAATGCTCACCTCCTTGGCTGGACATGTAGATCTCTACTGCAGTTTCCACGTTGCCCCCCGCCATTTCCAAGAATATGGCAGCCTTGCAGCTCTCAAAGGCCAAACGGATCAAAAAATGACATAGCCAATGACATGTCACATTCCTAGACTTTGTTCGGTCAGACTTTGTTCCGTCACCCATGTCGAGCCTGGTCAGCTGGGGCACCCGTGACGTCAATGAAGAGCTGAACGTTCGCATCCATGGCTCCAAAGGAGCTGAGAACCCCTTTTGTCCCTTTTCAACAACATGTAGAGCTGGCTCTTGGTGCATAGAAGCAAGACATTCAAATCATTCAATGTTCACAATGGTTTCAAGAATGTGACACAGATCCTATACTATATGCTCATATATGCTCGCGCTTTGCAACTCGAGACCAAAATTCCTGCTGCCACAGCTGAATGGCGTTGTTCCATTGGGAGTGAAATCTTCACTGTCAATGTCAATGCTTCTAGCTTTTTTTTGTCTGTCAGCCGTGATCAGAAATTCTAGCAGCATGAAGCATTGAAGCCCTTCCCCCCTATACTAACGGCAATGTTGCCGATATCCATCAACAGTCCGGAAAGAATGCAAGCTTGAGGCCTGAAAGGGGGGACGCACCTCCTTGTCAGCCCGCATTAAAGGGGAAGCAAATCCAAGTTGGTTGCCATCCCTTTGCAATACCTCGCTTGTCACCCTTGGGCACATACATTTGTCATGGGGCAGAAGACACTCTCTACAGAAGCAAAGCACTGGCATGCATTCTGCCGATTGGGACTTAATGCTCAGAACCAAACCATCATCAAAGTCTCACGCGGTGTCTCGTAGTTCACCTGATTGGGCCTAAGTCCAAGTTGGGACAGAAAAGCTCTGGACGCGTCTGGACCTCTCTTACGACCTGGAAATCTGAGGCACTCGGCTTTTCAGTGCTCAGTTTTTCTTCTACTCCATTACCTGCTGCATTCTTTCAAACATTTCAAGTTCTGTTCCAACACTCACTGTGACTCACTTCCAAATCACCCAAAGAGACACCAGGATCAGCATCTGAGCTGCGAAGTGCGCCTGGATCCCGATTTGGGCCCGCAGCCTCAGAGTAAATGGTAGGCTCTGGTACCATGCAGGACTTTGTCACCAACGGCACCAACGGTCCGAAAAAGATAGGCCGGCTGCCGGCGCCTCCGGAGGATAGCCAGCCGCCATGCCTGTACAGAAGCATGGGTAGATTCGGGTAGATGAATATACCAATTATACCAGTCTGATCTATTCAATCTATTCTGTATCAATCCTTAAAGAAACAGATTAGTACAGAGACACAGAAGCTGTGCCTGCACAATCGCCCAAGCTCTAGGTCAGGGTTATCAACAGATTCTCACCGCTTGGCTCGCTTGTGCATGACAAATTGTTTGAGGTATTCATGATTTGAATGAGGAGCTATGTTTTACTCAATGTACGACTGCCAAAGGACTATGATCTTTACAAATCTGCATGCCATCCTGAACATGAAATTGGCGGCTCGGGGGTCCTGAACATGATCTGTTCCGCAGTAGTTCTGATGTTCTTGATTCTTGCATTGATCGCAGCTTACACGCTAAAGCCAGATCATGGCGGAGGCATTCGAGCAGTGGTCGTGGCAGACTTGAGTGCTCGACTAAGAACCACACTACAGTAGATAGAATTGCTTGAGCATTGTCAGTCCCCATACACAAGAATGAAATTGAGGTGCAGTACTGTTTTAGATCCATCTGTGTGTGCTTTGTGTAGATGGTTGAAAGCTGCATTTGTGCCGAGCTGTCCTGTGGCTTTGGTTTCAGTCGCTCTTAAAAATCCGTCCCGCTTTTTAGATTGATAGTTTCATCTCAAAATCCAACGGTGATTTTCCATGATTTTCCTAGCTCCAGCGCATGTGTGTATGTGTGTGTGTCCTCCTGGCATCTGCAGTCTTCATTCCTGCTTTGTTCCTGTTTTCCAAGAGTTTCCACCTGTTTTCTCAGCGAGTCTTCTGTCATTTCTGTCATTTCTGTCATTTCTTTCTCTGTCCACCTTGAAGTTTCTGACCTCTCGACCCTTGAGGCCCAGGCTTTTGGCCGATCAGCAGCTCCCGAGCGCTCAGTAGCCTTTTAGGCTTAGCACCATAGAATTCTTCAGTCCACTTGAACCAATTTACTGTTGTTTCTTCCGCTCTCTGTATAGGTTTTTTGCCTTACAAGTATTACCACTACTAATGTTACTCAAATTTACATGCTAATCAGGCTACATATTCATACATGTTCAATATGTTTCAATCTAGTGAAGAAAACCTTCGGAGAAAAATCAGCGCCAACCAGGAGGGAAAAAAAAATATTGCGCTTTCAGAAAAGCGAAGGATCCTTCAACATCCTTCAACCACATGCCAAACCTGCTAACATTGACTTGGAGGCACCTCGCAAGAGATACTGTCGAAAAAGGACTTCGTCTTGTCATAGCCAGGCAGCGGCTTCAGCGAATCACCTTGACTGCATGGACTGCATAGACTGCATAGACTGCATAGACTGCATAGCAGTTGTGGCTGTCACCACTTTGACTTCCAACGACTTCCAGTCATCTCTGTCACTGGTCCCATCTGGCAACACTATCAGGTCGTTCACCTGCCTTCTTCACCTTCCTGGGCTACAGCAGATTTGTCAAACCTAAGCAACTTGGCCCAAGGACCATGATTCAGGCGACTGGCGTATACCACCGCGATGCCACTCCCTGAAATGCGCAATTTCTGCGAGCTTCGGACTTGGAGTTGGCAGCAGTCACATCGAACTCCTTCTCATACTCCTTCTTGACCTGATGTGCATAACAAGCTCAAACCTGATGGTCAAACATCAAGAAATCCAATCTTTTCTGTTTCCACAAGCAATGGACAGTTGAGATCTCTGTGTGAGTGCCGGCATTGAATGAATAGTTTAGAGTTTCAAGAGTCTTTCAAGGGTGATAAGGACTGCATGAAGACTCATAGCAAAAGGTCAAACCGTGGGCTCTTGAGCAAGTTGGAGCAGTACAGTACTTGCTGCAGTGAAGCGTATTAGCAGACTTTTACGCCACAGGATGTGAGACAAGGTATTGCATGAAAAGTTGGCTCTGCACACAATGTGGGATTCCCAAAACCAACGCTTGATCATATACCCAAGTGGGTAAATCAATAGTTGAGGTCAGTAGGATTTAGTAGGTATCCCTCATTCTTGGACACGTAGTCACACAATGTCACACACATGCTTGGTGATTCCTGCAACACTCGGCCATCATATGATATGGCTTCCTCGTGTTCGCTGATACTCTGAGCTGGATGGTGATTTTTCTGCAACCTCAACTATTCGCAGAAAGCTTGCAACATGGCGTCAAGCCTCTTCGTTGGTTTCAGGCAGCAATTCTCCAATGGCAGCACCGTCACCTGCATGACTGGTGATGGACTGACAGGCTAAAACACATGTTGCCAGACAGATTATTTGTTTCTTGAGACGATTAAAAGAGGAAGGATAGCATATCCAACTCCAAAATCCCACGCACAAAATCCGTGCGCATCCTGTGCAACTGAGTCACGTCGGCCGCCCTTTCCGCCGCCTTTACCCCTGACAAAAAATCTTCAATAACTCTGTCAAGTTTGTTAAGAACAGAATAGCATTGATGGTGCCTAGGCTGTTGCTGTGTCCCCACAGATTCCAATCAGTCACGGCTACTCTGGGTCCATCGCTTTCCTTTCTCTCCTTTGGCAGCCTGCAAGAGTTTCTTCGACGTCATAAATGCAACAGGATGTCACAGAATGCCATTTCGCGGCCGCGTACTGACAAAGCGCTGGCACTCTTCACCAGGCCTTGCCACCGTCTCCTTTTCCAACCTGTCAAAATTCAATAGCAATAAATTCAATAAATGAACAAAGTTGATGTGTTCCACCTGTTTTATGTATGAAAGACTGCATCGTCATACTATATATTGTATGATGTGTGTGTGTGTATATTGACATAGAACTCAGAGAGAGAGAGAGAGAGAAAATAGAGAGAGAGAGAGAATCCGTCTGAGGCCAAGTTACAGCAGCAAAGCCAGGCCAAGGTGCTGATCAGGCTGATCAGGCTGATCAGGAAGGGATGGGGAGTCGGAGAGGGGAAGACGGAGAGATGTGCGGCTTCAAGTCCTCCTTTTTCACTCATCCGTGTGAATGTCGACAAGCATATGTAAGCATATGTACGCATATGTAAGTGTGTGTGTGTGTGCACACCACAAAAGAAAGATGGATAATCCTGCTGCATGAGAAAAGTCAATGAGGTCACATTCAAAAATGACATGGACTTCAGGGGAAAAACAACTTGGTGAAATACGGCTGTGCAATGAGCAACTGGCCTTTCCACCCTTGTCCTTTCCTTTGCCTTTGATTTCACCTTTCAGGCCTTTTCCGGCATCCTGTCAACTCCATCAACCACGGCTATCCATCCGTCACTCCATGGCAGGAATCTGCAATTCAAGTCCCCTCCAAGGCGTTGCAGGCACAGCATTTTCCCTCCATCACCATTTCGTCCCTTTGTGGCAAGAGACAATCGTTTGCACTTCAAAAAATGTACTTACTAATTGAATTACGTCAAATTGCCAAAGTCAGACTTCGATCATCTTCGATCCATACACCAACGAAATTGTTTGTCTCCTTGCTTCAACTTGTGAAGTCCCAGTGGCATTTTGCCAGCTACGGGCCATGCTTTACATGTGCAATTTTACGGTTTTAAGGCCATGTAGAGTCAGTCAGGATCACGATAAAGTTGCACCATATCCAGAAAAACCTTGGAAAGGCGCAGTGAAACGGCTTGTCCATACTGGTTCTAGAATGTTCTAGGTTCATTTTTAGGGGCGAGTGATTCACTTGACTACCACGAGAACTGCGACGCAGGGTTTCTCATGTTGCCGTGCCAGCAAGAATTGCTCTGGGATCGCAGCTGAAGTTTGGCCTTGATGCCAAGTTTCCAACGGGTGGGTTGAAATGTCTGTTTGGAACACATCCAAAAGGATGCCCTCGAATTTGCCATGTAGCAAAATATAGCAAGATCAAGAAGGTGCCTGCCACCTTGTCCACCTTCAGATCTATCCATGACGACTTCATCACCTCAGGAAATGACAACTTGATCAACCCGAGCCAGTCCAAATAATTAGAAGCAAAGCCATGCCTGGAAATCAAATCCAAACAAAGCGGCACGTTTGCAAACTTGGGAGCTGGCCATGGGTCCTTATTCGTGCTGGGTGGACTTCAGAGTCACAATTTGTCCCACTTCAGTTTCAGCACGGTTCTGACTACTTATATTTATATGATTTTAAACATAATATATATATTTTTTTATTTATCTATTTTTTTATTTATTTATTTATTATATGATTTTAAATATTATATATATATATATATATTTATTTATATGTTTACATACTACATATTATTGTGATAAAAAGAAATAGTAATAATCATAATAATATTTTATTATAGTAACAATAATAATTACGGTAATGATCAAAAAAAGTAAAGCAATAACAAATAAGAAGAAGAAGAAGAAGAAGAATATATACATTTATACAATAAAGCCGAAAGAAGTTTAGAAGTCAGACTTCCGACAATATGGACAGATGAAAAAGCAGAGGTGGGAAGAGTCAGAGAAGATCAGAGAAGAGAAGAGAAGAGAAGCGAAGCGAAGAAACAAAAAGATCAGAGAAGAGAAAGAGTCAGAAGAAAGAAGATGCAGGCGCGCGAAAAGGTAGACAAGTCGCCAATCACTGTGTTTTACCAGTGATTTGTAGCTCCAAAGGGTCGAAAGCAGCGGGTGTGGAGCCATCTGGGCAGATGAGAGATAAAAAATTGCATGTCGTTGTGGCGTGAAGCACATTTCCAATTCAACATGCTAAGAATACGACAGGTTCGGAGCACCTTTGGAAGTTGTGATGTTGAAAAAGTGCACGGCGTTGTGGCGCGAAGCACATTTCCAAGTCAAAATCTACAAAGCACACCAGCTTCGGAGCACTCTTGGAAGTTGAGATGTTGAAAAAGTGCGCGGCGTTGTGGCGCGAAGCACATTTCCAAGTCGAAATGCTAAAAACACGCCAGCTTCGGAGCACTTTTGGAAGTTGTGATGTTGAAAAAGTGCGTGGCCTTGTGGCGCGAAGCAAATTTCCAAGTCAAAATCTACAAAACACGCCAGCATCGGAGCATTTTTGGAAGTTGAGATGTTGAACAAGTGCACAGCGTTTTGGCACGAAGCACATTTCGAAGTCAAAAGTGCAAAAAAGTACTGGGTACGGAGCACTTTTGGACGTTCAGATGGCATTTTTTGCGTGGCAGGCGCAAGGGATTGTGCACCTTGTCAAAAGTGAGCAAAACGTGATGGTTTTGTAGCAGTTTCAAAAGCGTTAGCAGGAAGCAGTGCAAGAAACATGTTAGGAGGTCCGGGCGCTGATTTCCTGAGAGAGTTGCGTTTTGGAGCATCAGAGATGATTTTGCCTGACAGGTGCAGCACTTCGTACAAGTCATCACTTTTTCGTGGCAGGCGCAGTACTTCAGACAGGTGGAGTGGAAAAATCGCAAAACACGTTTTCGAAAATTGAGGAAGTCTCGCAGACTTGCTTCGTTTTTGACGTCGTCAAGTTAAAACATTGAAGAAATCTCGCGGAATTGCTGCGTTTTTGACGCTCTCAAGTTCGAAAACTGAGCAGGTCTCGCAGAATAGCTTCGTTTTCAAGCTTGCAGATAGACAGATAGATAGATAGATAGATAGATAGATAGATTTGACAACGTCAACAACGAAGCAATTCTGCGAGACTTCCTTCAAAAATGGAAAGTTGACTGCAAAGCTGACGGCCTCGTGCCACTGCGTTTTGCGATTTTTCCACTCCACCTGTCTGAAGTACTGCGCCTGCCACGAAAAAGTGATGACTTGTACGAAGTGCTGCACCTGTCAGGCAAAATCATCTCTGATGCTCCAAAACGCAACTCTCTCAGGAAATCAGCGCCCGGACCTCCTAACATGTTTCTTGCACTGCTTCCTGCTAACGCTTTTGAAACTGCTACAAAACCATCACGTTTTGCTCACTTTTGACAAGGTGCACAATCCCTTGCGTCTGCCACGCAAAACGCCATCTGAAAGTCCAAAAGTGCTCCGTACCCGGTACTTTTTTGCACTTTTGACTTCGAAATGTGCTTCGCGCCAAAACGCTGTGCACTTGTTCAACATCTCAACTTCCAAAAGTGCTCCGAAGCTGGCATGTTTTGTAGATTTTGACTTGGAAATGTGCTTCGCGCCACAACGCCGTGCACTTTTTCAACATCACAACTTCCAAAAGTGCTCCGAAGCTGGTGTGCTTTGTAGATTTTGACTTGGAAATTTGCTTCGCGCCACAAAGCCGCGCACTTTTTCAACATCACAACTTCCAAAAGTGCTCCGAAGCTGGCGTGCTTTGTAGATTTTGACTTGGAAATGTGCTTCGCGCCACAACGCCGTGCACTTTTTCAACATCACAACTTCCAAAGGTGCTCCGAACCTGTCGTATTCTTAGCATGTTGAATTGGAAATGTGCTTCACGCCACAACGACGTGCAATTTTTTATCTCTCATCTGCCCAGATGGCTCCACACCCGCCGCTTTAGCGAGCCTACTTTTCGACCTCTGGAGCCAAAATCATTGGAAAAACCCAAGGATTCGCGACTTGTCTATCTTTCCGTGCACCTGCATCTTCTTTCTTATGACTCTTTCTCTTCTCTGATCATCTTGCTTCTTTTCTTCTTTTCTCTGACCTCTGCTTTTTCATCTGTCCATTGTCGGAAATTTGACTTCTAAACTTCTTTCGGCAGTTACAACTACAACATCCATTACCACTACGTTACACTACTACTACAACTTCAACTACAACTACAAATAGATTGCCCTACATTACGCTACCCCAACTACACTACACTACACTAACTACACTACACTACACTAAACTAAACTACACTACACTACACAACACTAACACTAATACTAACACTAACACTAACACTAACTACACTACACTACACTACAATACACTACACTAATTACACTACTACTACAACTACAGCTACAACAACAACAACAACAACAACAACAACAACAACAACAGCTACTACTACTACTACTACTACTACTACTACTACTACTACTACTACTACTACTACTACTACTACTATGACGATGACTACTACTGCTGCTACTACTACTACGACGACTACTACTGCTACTACTACAACTACCACCACCACCACCACAGCTACAACTACAATTACAACTACATTACACTACACTACTCACTAATTACACTACAGTACGATACAAGTACAACTACAAATGGAACTACAACTACACCATGCTACACAACACTACACTACACTAGTTACATTACATTCCACTACAGCTACAACTACAACTGCAACTACAACTGCAACAACAACTACACTCCACTACACTAATTACACCACATTACACTACAACTACATCTACACTACCTTAGGCTACGCTAGACTACACTATACTTTACCAGACTACAGTACACAACACTAGAGTACACTACACTACGCTTTACTACATTACGCTACACCAATTACACCACACCACAGCTACAACTGCAACTACAACTACACTACACTAATTACACTGCACTACAACTACAACTCCGTTACACTACACTACAACTACAACTGCACTACACCACACTACATCCAGCAGTTGTGGGTGCTGCAGCCATTGCAACCACTCCAAAAAACACAACTCCAACCACCTTTCGGTCCATCAGTGGATTCGTTCTGCCATCCATGCATCACAACAACTCACCTCTCCTATACTTTCCTATCCTATCTTTGAAACTTCCGCCACTGCCTTGCGCGGTACTACTGGTATAGTATATATTGTGTTTCTGTCACTGCAGTCAAGTGGCCTTTCACCTTCTCGCATCTTCATTTTGTTATATCGAGCGTACCTCCAGGTTCAAGAATCTGTGTGAATTCAGTCCACTTGTTTGCAATTGAGAGTTCATGACAACCATCAATTTTGGGCACGAAGACATAGAATGGACTAAACCACCACCACCAAAGAGAAGGACAAGGATGAGCATGAAGACCCAGTGTGGCAAGTCCTGAGTCAACATCTGTCGAATGCAAAGGTTGCGTTGGCGACGCCGGTCCACTGAGACTTCGGCGTTGTTCAATCTAAATTGCCGTGCATAGGTTGGAGCAGCCCCGACACGAACAACATCAAACAGCCACCTTTGTCAAAATACACGAAATCTTGCGCTTTGTCAAAGCGATGTCAATGAAGCTCTGACAGTTCGCAAATTTATTCAGAGGGCTCTAGGGTGCAAACCACAAGCCAAAGCCCCCAAGGGTTAAAAGCCTTGCTACAACTCCCCAGTCAGCTCCTATCTCGTTTCTCCACAAAGCTTGTTTAATGACTTTCTCGCAGTTTCAATCGAGACTGCAGCTACACATAGCTGCGCTAAGCTAGAAACTTCAGAATGCCTCTGACCCAGAAGCCTAAGTAGAAGAGATCCAAGCCTCGGTAATTTCGAAAGAGTGGCATTCAGAAAGGCATAGAAAGAAAATGAAAGAAAAACAAAAACCACACCTTGACCAACACTGAAGCCTTTGCAAACAATGCACCAGCAATGCACGAGCCCTCCCACCGAGCCGCTTTTCAGAGGCGAGACTTCACCAGCTCCCTAAGGTGTGTAGGCGCTGCACCTCTACGGCCTTCTGCACACTTTTCAGCACACTTTTCTGCACACTGTACTGTCTGTGCATGTTGTGCCTGTTGTGCATGTTGCGCTCTGTCAGCTGCTGCCTTCATGACAACTTCATAGATTCTGGGCAAATGGTCGACCACCATTCGGCGGCCACCCGAAAAGTCTATGCAAGGTGCCAAATCTTCAGGCGCAAGCTCTTCTATCTCACCATCACGCTGAACCAAGAAGCAACGACCGGCCGGATAAAGCTTCAGCATATCCGGCGAATCCCCAGAGTTTTGCTTTTCAAAGGCTTCAATCTTGCTGCTTGCCAGTGCTTCTTCCAGGTCTTGAGGAATGGCTTGCGCAACTTGTGCAGCTTTCCAAAGCCCACCATTTGCCAAGCGCTTGACAATATCTCCTGCCACATTTGCCGCAAGTACAGCTCGGCCACGAAGCTCCAACAAGTGACCTGTCGACAGCCGCGGAACCACATCTTGGGCGTGACAATAGGAAGCAATACGATCTCGGAGAGATTTGCTCACAGCTGCAGAGCAAATCCCGGGAGCTCCAAAGGAAAAGCACCGGACTTCCGGTGACTTGGAATCCCGTGGATCATCCCGATCCTGCAAGTCCTGCAGCTCCAAGAACAGCATCGTGAGGTACGCTGCCACTCCGCCTCCCAGGCTGTGACCAGTGAAAGTTATTCTGTCAATCCCGGACAAAGTTTCCAAGAGTGGGTGAACAGCTCGCAACACGTTGCAAGCACTCTGCAGCATATTCTTATGTGCCTCGCAGGGATAAGAGCAAACACCTACATCATGTTTCTTGTTTTTTTTAAATATGTTTGTACAGCATGCGTACGTGAAATGTATGTATAGCTGATCAAAATTCTTCATCCTGACGCGGCAAGTCTTAGCATTTTTTAGCCAAGCTGTCACGAACTCCAATTTGATCTTTCACAGATTTTCACGGCGGAGATACAGTAACCTCTTGTTCCTAGGAGGAATAGAACTATATAGATGGAAATGTCACCAATGGAAATGGATGAAAATGGCACCAATAGTAGAAACTGCATTACGGAATGATACAATAAACCAATAATTCGTGTTGACTAAACCGTGTTGCTTTGTACGCTAGGGCTAGGGTATTCTCAAGACAGCTTTGCTCTAGCCACTACCTTCGCGACACCTTTCCTAGAAATCGAACTGAAAAACCCGCAAATCACACATCCACTAGTGAAACTGTCGCCCATTCATAGTAAAAAGAAATAATTTAGAGAACTTGGGAGAAAAAAAACTTTGGGGAGGGATGATGCTAAAACAACCGTGGCCATCCTCATGTGAAATCCCTGCAAGGACCTTTAGCTCAATGCGCATATGCAAAGAAATCCTATTATGTTTCTACCAATTAAGAGCTTTTCAGAACTGTCTCTTTCGATTCAGTTTGCATTGAATTGCTGAGGATTACGGACTTTGGATGTTGGAATGTGAGGTTGGGTTGAAGTCCCGTATCTTTTAAGCTCGCCTAATTTACGTACCATTCTTTTTCTGCCCCACGCAGTAGACTCATACGGTTGGCTTCTATATGCGTGTGTGTATAAAGCATGTCTGTGTCTCTACCCTTCCGGCACTGCACACACCACATTTTAGACTAGAGTCGGAAGCACACGAGCAATGGAGTGTCTGGCACTCGAAACATCAGCAGCCAAACAGGAGCCTAAATTTGATGAGAATAAAAAATATTGAAAATTTACGACATAATTTAGATCGTCTAAGCATAAATAAAATATATTTGAGCTGACTCAGGCGGACTCAAAAAGTTTGACAACCGACTTTGGCAGAGTGGCCACTGCTCTGCCATATTTTCCATCGGCCTTGCCACCCAAAAACAAATCAACTTCTTCAGCTCCAAGATCCGTCAGCACATCTTGGACACTCAGTGTGCCTGCGTTCGGACAGCCGGAAATAAATTCTAGATAAACTATCACAAAAATAGAAAATATAGAACACTGCTTTATGTTGCACAGAATGGGAATTCGATGTACTGCATGAAAAAGACATCACAGTGTGTACATGATGAATGTCAAATGCTATTTGAATAAACTACAAATGTTGTGCTTGACAAAGGATGTTGACTGGCTTTGGAACACCTGGGTATTGTTGGTCATCCAGTGTCGAAATGTTGTGGTGGTGCTGCGTGGCCTTTGCGCATCTACAGATTTCACAAGTAAGACCCCTTAAAAACTAGCATTGACCCAAAAATAATTGTAGACTTCTTAACATCTTGTTATGTTTATATTTATATTCCCTTGGAGCACCAGTACCCCAGCGCTGCAGACAACATTCATCCAAATTCCCCCCCGGACAGCTCTACCCCTTCGCCTCTCACTGCTACAACTACCTCTCTGCGCCCACGATCAACCAGTACATAGTGCGCAGGCAGCAGCCATCGTGCGCGCAATGAAGCCAAGGGCACGCTAACCTTCGAAGCTACAAAGTAAAACGGGGAAGTCGCACCAACGAGTCAACACATGTCAACACATGTCAATATGATACAAAGTGATATAAAGTGAACACAACCAGCAAAACTCTTTGGCCCCGCGCACCTCCTCTGGGTTCAGGCTCTCACCCACATGTTTGCAGAGCAGTTGCGTGAAGTTGCTGTCTGTAATTCCAACCAGACCTGGACGCAAAGAAACTCGTCCGTAGGCAGCTGTTGCCAGGCGCATATAATGCAGCGACTCCACAGTCAGTTTGAGCGCGCTGAGATTGTGAAGCTCTGCCTCTGCTTCCGGTTGCGGATCCAACGAATCCGTCGCTGCTCTTTGCACATGTAGCTTCTGCCTCCCCTTGCATTGCGGCTTTCTGTCCTTGGCCGCTACTCTGGCAGACTCTGGCAGACTGGCTAATGTTTCCAATGCACTCGGTTCCAGAAATTCACAGTGCTACTGAGTGCTACTTTTGCTACTTTGCTCTAAGCGCCACACGTGCAGCACGAGGACATTCAGCCCAACTAGTGTCTTTGGAAGAGTCTCTGGTGAAATCTTTGCCATGAGGCTCCGATACACATTAGCAACCTGGAGAGTTCCACAACTTTCCAGGTGTTCCAAAATCTGCTGCAACTGCTAGGTTTACAAATTGACAAAGCCGACAAAACCATACAAAACCGGGCTGAAGCCTTTGCTGAAGTTGCCCAAATTGTGCCAAGAGACAGGCCCGACTGCATCCCAAAGTTGATGTTCCCACGGCTCCTGCCAAGCAGCCTGTTTTTCAGCCTTAGCTTTCAATGTCTTTATGGATAAGTGTCGCCAAATCCTCAACAAGAAGTCATGATGTGTGCTACAGCGAGTAAGATCTACTAAGGTTTGGACAGAGTGAGCTGGTGAGGCCGGGACAGCGAGTGATGGAACCAAGTCCTTGGATCCAAAGAGTGGCATTGTCGATCCACCTCGGGGGTACAATTTTAGAATTAATGGTAATCAATGTTGATTAACTAGTGTTAATTTTAGTGTTAATTAATGTTGATCAACTTTGATTAATGTGAATTACTGTTAATTGTCTACTTACAATGCTACTGTACTGTATCTGTGTGCATATGGACTGGTCATCAGACCAAAGCCTTACCTGTCTGCATCATTCTGCATTGTGCTCACAGCAAATCTCGATGTGAAGGAATAATCCAAGTCGAGAATCTGGTAAATTGTTGATGTTGAGATGCCAAGTGCGACCTCAATTTCTCAGTTCAAAGCATTTAAATGCATTTAAGCAGTTTCAGAAGAAAGACTGACTGTACTGATTGTACTGACTGTACAGAGACAATATTCAATTTTGGTCCGAAAGAGTGACGGATCAATGTACTGCACCAGTGAAACCGAACCATCTCCGACAGTCTCCGACTTATCCGCACTAGTTCATCCGATTTTAATCCGATTTCGCAATTCCCCCTGCATGGCCTGAATGGCCTGCATCTGAATGACACTGTGAGCACGACTTCCTGGACAGCACCACTCTGGAGGTCTTGGAGGTCATTCTCACTGGACTCTCACCAAAAACAAGCGTAGTAAAATGAAAACCTCGGAAAATCTCGGAAACCCTGGGCACTGGGCACTTGGTTTCAAAGAGTTTTCAAAGTGCGTGCAACAAGCGCAGTCACAGAGTTTCTCCTGGTCCTCCGGAAGTGCCACCGATCTGCTGCTAGCTGAAGTGCCACGAGACCAGCGGCACAGAATTCGCGAAATGGCGGCATACGTCGAAGGGCATGGGGAAAATTACTCAAGTCATGGACTTGAAATAGTTTGAAGTCTGAAGAGTATTTCAAACTCTCCAAGGCTCTTAGACGCTTCTGTCCCATGTGGTTTTCAAAGCCGTATTACTTACGAGCATCTCATGAATAGTCGTCTTTGAATCAATTTGAATCTAGTAAGAGGTCAGAATAACCAGGGAGTAAATAGCTAGGTCAGCTAGGTTTACTGAGCTAATCTGAGCCATCTCCAATTGAGATTAGCCATCAACTCAGGAGCCCAAGGCTGTGCCTTGAGCCAACATTTCACAGAGGAAAGGTAGATCTGAAACAATTCTTAAACTGGACCAAAAAAAATTAGCCTCTGTAGCCTCCCTTGACCATCGTTTTATCTTTGACTCTCGCAGATGGTGAAGCGTCAGGAATTTGGTGCCACCACTACAATGTCACTACAACCCCAGGCAGGACCTGTGGATCACCCACACATGCCACAAGAGTCCCAAGAAAGAACATGACAAGACACCTCAGCCATCAACTGGCTGCGACAGCATTGCTGGTAACACCTGCACTTCTTGCAGCGTCTTGCACACCACATCCGGCATGAGTCGCTCACTTCTGCCCAAGATTGAAGAAACTCAACCGTTCCATCTGACTTGAAATCATTCCAAACAAATCGGATCCTGTGCATTGCTGCATGACAATGATGCGCCATGACTAAAGCTTTCAAAGTCGGCGCGACGAATTCTACTCCAAATATTCAAACTCCTCTGGGAGACCAAAGGTCTGATCAAACTGAGAAGCACTGATTTCCCCTCTCCGCTCACGGAGAAACAAAGACCGAACAGCACCTCAGTCTTGTTGCTTCCACCATTGCTTTGATGCGTTCTATGTTGCTATGCAAAAGGTTGAAGACTTTTCAAGGGATGAAAGGTTTTGACTTGTCAGACTGTGGATCTGGCAAATGTTGTCCGCCCAACGATTCGCAGCTTCCTCGTTTGCTGCGGAATCAGTGCCATAAATGTGCGAGCATATCAAGCAAATGTCATAGCGTGACACGTGTATATAAATACATACAAACATGTGTATGTAAATATGTATATATATATATATACACAGATATGAATCAAATATATATATATATATGAAATCATTTGATGCACAGGGGCTGAATCTGATTTTCTCCGATCGCAGTTTCCTGCACTAGCGTCACCAAACGACTATGTCAAATGCCAACACAAAGGTGTTGAGAGTTGAGAGCTAAAGAAACTGGTTGAGAGGGAGGGCAAGTGCTTTTTGTAGTCTTTTACGTGCTTTCCTGAGATAAACAGCACGTGATTCGTGTTCTATATCGCAGTAAGTGTTCTTGTGTGAATCCAACATGACTCCAAGTGACAACATGTCATACAGAATTGTGTACGTATTGTATCTTCCATGGTGGTCATATGAAGCTATTCACCCATTGATTCGTTCATTTTGAACCCTGCATTCATGATGCTCCAATCAGTTCCGTTGCATCTCTTCCATTCAATCATCAGGCTGTCAAAGAGCTTGCCTCGGGAAACCTTGGCACCGGCACCTGTGCTCTGGAAAGCGCTGAATGTATGTGCCTCTTTCTATTTATGCATACTCAGGAGAATAGCTTATATATATATATTCTTGCTGAGCATCTTTGGCGATCGCAGTCAGCTTCTTCATCTCAGCAAGTTTGGCCGGACCGCATCGCTCATAAGCCTGCGTGAGTCACCCCATCAAGTAACAAGCTGAATCAAACAGATACATAGTTTATACATAGTTGTTCCAAGTTGTTCCAAGTTGTTCCAAGTTGTTCCAAGTTGTTCCAAGTTGTTCCAAGCAAATTTGTCATTCTCGGTCTGCACCAGGCACCTGGATCTCGGAACGCAACTGCTCACACTTCTTCCGCTCCATGGCTGCCTGTGCCCTCAGGGTGGCTGCCTCCTCCTGCGGTCGATTTCGGTACAAAAAACAGGCTGCACCTTCATCCAAGAATTATACATATATATATATATAATTTTTACAAGATCATCCCAAGAGTTCCATAGATTTACATCGACTCCTTGTTCAACTGTGTGCAACTTTGGCGAAAACAAATGTAGCATGGCCAAACTCGCCTCGGTCGGAGCGGGCTGTGATGACAACTGCGTCAGCTCTGCCTCACAGGATGCTGCAGCTGCCACAGTTCCATCATCGTTGCATCATAGTTCCATCACGGCACATGTAAACTTTGCCAACAAAACCGGAGCGGTGCGAAAACAATCTCTTTTGAGCATGTGAGCTGCAATTCCTGTCTACCAAAAGACTCGAAACTTCTCAGAAGTTCCTTCTACCACCGGCAAAAAAAAAAGGCGGAGGCACGCCAAACTTGCGTTGATCACACGGATCAATGTCTCCGTGGCAGGGAGATGGGCTGATGCTTTGAGTGTCAACAGATGTCAACAGCTTTTATTCAAAGATATTCAAAGTGAAAAGAAGATTAAAAGGGGTGGCTTTACCCAGTCACGGCTCACGGAAACATGCATAACGAAAAGGCGTGCAGGGTGAACCAGGTGATGTGGTTGCAATATCGATCTCCGGTTGAAGCTTCAATGATGTCGTCTCACCTTGCTTGAACGATGAAGAACAGGAGGATGAGAAAAGGATGAGACAAAGATGAAAATCGGAAACAGTTCTGAAACAGAAGACTCAGACACCAAACACTCCGCAAGCAGGGCACTTCCAGCAGATGCCGGTTTTGCTGCCGGTTTTGCTTCCGGTTGCCGGTAGACACCAGGCTTGACGCGACCTACCCACGTTGGATGCTTCAAAGCAATGAGCAGAGCTCCAATGATGGAGTCACTCTCCACGTATCCAGCCTCCAAATCCTTCCAACGGCCGCCTCAGAGAAACAGTACCCCAAAAGACACATTCGGAGTGCCGATTGCCGGGTGCACAACCTGGACTACAAATCTACATAAATCATCATAAATCTACAATCTACAAATGACAAGCTCGGCTTTTTGGCCTGGATTTCGGAGATCGGTACTCGCTTCTGCGGGGCATCTGCCATTCCTGTGCATGACGACTCTCACAACATGCCTAGTTGAAGAGCAGCAAAAAGATGCAAAAAGATGCAAAAAGATACGAAAAGCAAATGCTCAGCAAAGGGAGAAATGGGGAGAATGTGAGAGTTGTTGGATCCGAAACTCCAACATTGCTGGAAGTGTCCTGGCACGTCTCGACGGAGAAGTAGGTCAAAGAGCCAATCGAAAACTTCCTTAGGGTCACACACTGGAGAATATAGCGTCTTTTTCGAAGTCTCCAAACGGCGTCGTTTAATTTTGTTTAATCATTTTTATTTTTGATCTTAACTTGGCATTAAGCGATCCCAGGACGCGGCACATAGTGGTACTTGGTGGCCGATATCTATTGCCAAGTGACACATCATGCAAATGGTGGGCCCTCTTCACCCGGTGCAGACCATCGTTTCGTGCATCATGAAGATATCCAGGCGTATACCTGCACAGAGACTTCCGCAAGTCCAATGCCTTGTGATATTCCTCCCAAGTCAATCCATTTCACTCATTCGGACAAGAGTTCTACTCTCTTCGTTTACTCCCTAGGCCGCGCCCCAAGTAACTTAGTGAAAATAGAAAGTTACATGATATACTATACATCATAAGAAAACAAATCGAAGGCGCCAAAGCCGCTGAGACATTTCACACCACGACTTGGATTTGAAATTCAGCCTGAAGAGACGGTGTGCAAAGCACAGCAGCTGCAATTGGCTGCAATGATAAAAGGTTTGAGCATGCGCAGCAACCTCAAGGAAGCGCAGATCTGGTCCAGCCTAGCCCGTGACCTTGGTGCCATGTCTTGGCGCCTCAGCCTGGTCAAGGAGAAAAATATAAAGAAAGTATAAAAAATGAGAAAAATGGAAAAAAAAAGAGTAAGGTCAGTGTCAATATGTCCAATATGTTAATCTGAAACAGACCTGCAATCGATATGAGATAGATAAACTCCAAAGGTTGCAGCAAAAGCTTCGAAAGCAGCGACCTCGCTGCGACCTCGCTGCGCGCCTCGCTGGCATCTCTGGACGCTCTGGTGATGGTCTCTGCTCCTCCCCGACGAGCAGCTCATGCTCAAGCTCAGTGCATCCCAAGCTGGGTGGAGATGCCTCAGTCCAGTCACGTTTGGTCACGTTGCCATCACCGAACGAGAAGAACAGGAGCTAACGATAGCTAACGCCAAGAGTTGCATTTTTGCTGTGGGACAAATCATGTGTGAAAATGTGTGGGTGTTCTGCTTAGCTGGGGGTAGCATACCTCCCAGCTACTGCGCATGACTACAAGTCCTCACTTAAGTCTGTGAAAAGACTGACTGAAGTAACAGCACCAGGCTTTCAAAAATACGCTTGAGGTCTAGCATTGAACGCCGCCCAGGGTCTTCTACGATGCTATCATCGTCCAGCAGCAAGCTTTGTTTTAGCTGAAACAGCTGCGATTTTTGCCTTTCCAGGCAGCTCCGCAGGCTGTGCAAACACAAACAAATGGTCAGTTTCTTCGCTTAAAGGTATGCTCAGGCAAGTCAAAGATTGCTGCTTCTGCAAAACAAGCTGAGGACATGATGACCAAAGAAACACGATATATTGTCGCTAGAGCCCAACTCTTGCTGGCTAAGGTGCGGTTCAGCAAAGAGGTATGGTGGCTTGGCAAATACAAAGCTTTCATCGCCTTACCAGGATGATTTAGATGTCTAAAATCCAGGCGATCACTTTGAAATGGGGCCAAGGACAGCCCATGGCAAGACATTGGAAAAGGAAGCCAATAGCAGTGTATCGGAGACTGAGTCTCATCCAGGGTCGCTGTTTCAGGCGCCACACACACCGGCTTCTTTTAGTCAAGATACTTGTCTCCAGTCCTGCCGGGCTGGACTAAGAAATTGCCAAATGAAGTAAAACATTATAGCTGACACAATTGAAACGCCAGTCCTTCATACCGCAGTGATGATGGCGTCCAAACCGGCTTTGAGCGGAGTCGTGCACCCTGTCGTTTTTAGTGATGTGGCAACATCCCAGAAGTTGCCGTAAATCCCAGCAACACTGTCAGAGAAGTGAAAGGGTCATTGCGTGTCTGTGAAGCCATTTCGGAATATTTGAGATTGTACCTATGCTCTCTGCACTTTGCATTTAAAGAATACAGCACACTAATTGATTAGTTGATACGTAACATATACTTGTATATATCTATATAAACACACGTACATATATCGGTATAGTATTGTCAAGAGATTCAACATGTCACAGCCCAGGTCTTGTTCATTTTGCCACACATCTTGTTCGAGGTGGGCATGTGCCAGCACGTACGCATCCATACATCCGCCACTCTAAACTCTAAACCCCTCCACACGCCACCTGCCCACAAACCTGAAGGTCTGAAGTTCGCATATATGATAAGAATAAGAAATGCTAGAATCACTACTCTGAAGTGGAATACGTACGTATATTATATACATATTATATATGTTTTTTTTAATTTATTTATTTATTTATACACCCATACAGACATTTCAGTGCATGTACATATAACAGAAGTCTGCGTGCGATACGTATGTGTCATTGTTTTTCTAGATATGTACGTACATATCTAATTGCATGTCTATGTGTATATATATATATTGTTGTTATAATTATTTTGACCGTTATTACTAAAATATAATTAGGAATATATATATATATGAATATATACTCACATGTGTACATATCATAGTGAATCTAGCCCCCGATATTCGTACCCGGCAATGGATGTTGATATCGGCACAGCACTTACTTGCCTTTTTGCTTGCCTGCACCAATGTTCCTGGCCTGTCGGCTAGGTTCTCGGCTGACCCAGCGACCCTGCAAAGAGACACAAGCAAGGACATCGCTCCATCCACTGCCAACCCAGGGCAATTTTCGTATGGAAGCGACTGGATTGTAGGAGAGTGTGTGTATATTATAAGAACATTATATAAACATATATATATATGTATATTGTAATTATATATATATAATTATATATATATGTATAATTATATATATATAATTATAATTATATATATATGTGTATAATTATATATATATGTATAATTATATATATATGTATAATTATATATATATGATATATGTATATGTATATGTCAGGTTTAGCTCTTGATTGTTCATTGCCTTGCCTTGGGAAAATTTGTCAGAGGTGCGGAGTTGCACCGCTCCAAAAAACTCCGACTGCCATGACCTCATGCGAAATCCACAAATATCTTCTCTTCGGATTGTTCTGGGCCAATCTCAATTCTCAAGGACACGAAGCTTTGAAGAAGGAAAAGAAGCTAGGAGCTGACTAGTCAGAATTGGGAAGGACATACTTTAGCACAAATTGCACCTCAATTGACAAGTGAACATTTTCTCAAGTCCAGGGTGAAGACCGATTTGTGGCCAGAGCTTGCCCCGCGGCGAGTCTGTTGCCATTCAGCATAACCAACGTCTCAATGAGACAAAGCAGGTCCAAGAACGAGTGTGGTGTTGTGCAAGCTTCCACGGTGGCACTGTTTCAGCATTGGCCGACTTCTGCTTAGTTTTTTATTTGGCTGAAGAAATTTGATGGCTCAACAGAACCGAAGCTTGAGCCAGGACGCCAGGATGTACAAGAGCAGGACAAATGACAAAATATGACAAAATAATTTGCAACGATGTCATTCCCTTTTGGCATCAATTGTGGAGTGTGCAGTGAGTGAAAGTGAAAGTTGGCTGTCTTTGCCATTCGGCAGCAATCGCTCTGGAGTTTCATCATGCAACAATCCAACTACCAATCCAAGCATTAATCCAAGTAGTGAGACCGAAATACATGCGATGTGAAGTATTCATAAATATGTTTGCTTTCAAGGTGCCTGCAGTTTCTGCAGCTCTGCTTGTAGATGCTTCGTTTCAGCCTGACGAAAGAGAGGCAAATGCACCACGGTACAAAACATGAATTCACACAAGGACTGGCCCATATGTAAGGGTCACTATACAACCTGCAGAAACTAGAACAACAGTACGCGCCCAATCACCATACATGACCTACATGGTCATGGACACGTTGGGGCCTAACAAGAAGATCTATGTACCTTCATTTCGTCCGCTGAGGGCCTCAAGCTTCTGGCGCTTGTTCTGCAAAGTGGCAGTTCTTTGGGAAGGGAGTGCCCAAAACAGCAGCTGGGAGCCAACCTGCACCAGCATCCAGGCATTGCTATGATACCAAGATATACTAAGAGCAGCCAAAGTTCTCTCTGGCAGACTGGTGCATTTCATGCTCTTCTGTACTGAACAGCCCAATGCACTCTGACTCTTGAAGACGTAAAATAGATGTAAAAAAAATCAAGTTGCCTTGTCGCTCTGAACTTCGTCATCTGCAACTAGGCTTTCCACAACATCCTTGACTGCCTCGTAGGTTCAATCTTTCAAGGTCGAGACTACAACTTTGCTGCATCGAAAGTTGGATATTCATTTCAGATAGTCTGATTGTGACAAGGCCATCTGCATTGCATTGGATTGTTGAGGGCAAAGATCCATCGCACTGTTATCACTTTCAATCTTGTCATATCTTGCCATGGTGTGTATATGCGCTGAACCAATCAGTGCCTGCGGGATGACCCCCTTGGACTTTCCCAAAGTCTCCAGTTCTTTCAGGGTGAAGAACGAAGCCTTTTCAAGCGAGGCAGACATCCTCTTGGCCCCAAAGGACGGAAACCCCAGAGCAACTCCTCAGATAATCCTGAGAATCTGAGACTGAAGTGCTTGGTCTTCAGATGTTTGGAAAGCTTGGAACATGTTCTCGTTTGGCCTCACCCTGCATGGCGGCCAACAGCGTGACCTTCTTCTCATCAAAGGACATTCCCTTCCTGCAGAAAGCCTACCTGAAACAAAACCATACCTCATTATATCTCATCATATCTCATCATATCACATCATATCTCACATCTCTCACATATCTCACATATCTCACATATCTCATGCAAAGCATCTCTGTGTAGATGAAATGCACTTCCTCTTGGACATCTTTCAGGAAAGGCCCGGAAGGCAAGCGTCCACCTGCGGTAGTCTGTGTGTACAAAAAGCAGGAACAGAACAAGAAAGTTTAAGAAAGCCTATTAATAGTGACTATTAGTGCTTGTGCACAGCTTGATTCGTCTTGATTCCGCCATCAAGTGCTTCCAAGCTGCAAAGTCTGATGAGGAGATCTTGCGATGGGTTGCGCCGCTGGAGCCCAAAATAATGGTAGTATACACATGACATCACGTGACATGTGTACATTCCAAACTCCCAGAAATGAGGTGTGTTCACATATGTTCACATCCACATAATTGAGATTGGAACTGGTCCATGCAAAAGAAACAATATTCTTAATTGGACAACACCACCAAGCTTCAGACCAAGGAATCCGCCAAAAAGACTGAGGAAGAAAGCCTTTCACGAGCAGATCTGGAAAAAGTGACTGTGTGCCATTTTGTTTGCTGTCTTCGTTTAAAAAAAACACACACACAAGAAAACGAAAGTAGTACTTTGCGAATTCTATGATGATCATAAGACGATCATAAAGCAAAGCTGTGCAGCATGGCCTTGAGCTGTGATTTCCGAAGCGTACGACACTCAGGGTCAGCCCAAGCCTCGAATTGGCCAATCTCAAGCTTGAATGTTCGACAATCCACGACTGGATTGAATCCAAGACTGGACTGTTGACACTTCAAGGTAGTTTGGAGATGTTTGGAGTGGATCTTTTCCGCTTGAGTTTGTATGGTGCCCAATCAAGGTCGTAACTGGGTCACACTCGCAAAATGCCACGCCCATGCTGGCCTGGGAATACTCAGGTCGTGATCTCTCTGATCTCCATTGATCTACGCTGATTCAACTGATGCTTCGCACTGTGAACCAAAACCCTGAGAGTCCAGCAACCGTCTCACCAGGCTCTGCAAGCGAGAGAGGGACCTTCATCCACCTCACGGGCAAGGCATGTCGATAGACATGTCGACAGTCGTCAATGGCTTCTGCGGCTTGCAGACTCTGCAAATCTGTCCTGTACTTCACACAAAACCGTATCTCGACACTTGGGCTGCAAACGGCACACATTGACCATGCCCTGAGCACACTTGTCTCGCAGAGGCCTGGCTTTATCCATACACGGGGAGACATCGGGCTCTATATAATTACTGGCCTATACTTTCATTTCTTGCACCTCTATTGCAGCTCCCATGAGATCAAACCTGGTAAATTCGGGAAGCCATGCATGCAAACTCGAAAAATGCAAGCAGGGGTAGCCCCAGCACTGCACGAGTTCAGAATCGCAGCAGATGGAGGCTGCCCGGGTGCGACCTTGTTTTGCAATACAGAAGTCAAGCAAATCTGTCTCACAACAAAATCAAATTGCATACCGACTCAATATTCAGTTTGTGGATGTTTGGGAAATTTTGGGAATACCGGTGATGGTTTTTGTGATGGCAGCGTTCACGCGCAATGCACACTAGCGGCTCCTTACCAGTCGCACAATGTGATCCATCATTACACAGTCATGTCATCCATCATTGGACGAACCGATCCGAACGTTGTAGTGATGTGGGCAGTGAGTGCTCTCCGCCAAAGCTAAAATGCTGTTTCAGGTAATTTCAAGAAGTGACACACTTCCAATCCCAAAATCAGGGCCGGACGTGCTCATATTTGATAAGGTAGTCGGGCCTCATTGACACATCATGGACTTCTGTCAGTGTGTTTCCGCAAGCCTGTAAGAACATGTAAGAATCAAACATGTTGAAGCAAAGCCCAGGGCTGTCTGCGCCAGTTGGCCCGCGTATGCACAGGAATTGCCTTGACCCAACTTTCACAGCATTGGATGCAATCCCGCTGACAAGACACCTTCAATAGCGCTTCCGTGAAGTTGTTTGCATTTAGTCTTAGATTGTAAGGCTGGAACCAGGCTGCAACCCTGCAAAGACACCTGCAAGTTGAAATTCATCTCTGATGTCTGATTGAACACTGGCAAAACCAGAATCGATGAATAGTCACACAAACAGGTCGTCTGACTCCGTCCAAGTCTAGACAGTGAGCAAGTGAGACTGCATAAGGCTGAAGCTGAACATACAAGGAAAGCCGTGAGCAACATCCAGTTCGCCACACCTGCGTGGCACAAATAACGACCTAGATGAAGACTTAGTCTCAGGCCAAAACTGTCTGATCTCATAACATGTACAGTAAACTGTCTCATAATATGCCTCCAACCCGGCTCCGAGTTGGAGTCTGCTCTATGCCTCACAGCTTGGGGCCATGTACCAATTTAAAGATCACGGTGCAGTTGTTTCCATTTTTATTGTTTTTTCACTGCTATCTTCACAACTGGATTTTTAAAGATCAAACGCTATAGTTTGGCCACGAAAACTTGCAAGCTTAACAACACTGATGGAAAGAAGCATGATACATTGCATTCGGTTTTTTTGTGAGTCACTGCCATCTAGCAACTGCAAACTAGTCTCAGCAGTAACCCGAATGCGACACTTTGATAAAGCGCCCTCACTTCTCGCTGCCTTCCGCAGCTACTTGTAGGCCAAAAAGAGCTAGCCTGGCCCAAAACCACACGTCACAATAAGCTTTGTTTGTGCCTTTGTGCTAATATTTTTTAGTCTACATGCTACCCAGAAATCTGGCCGAGCACACAGCAAGGTAATTGACGGACCTTGGCCAGTATTATTAATCAGTTGAGCAAACAGAAAAGCACAAATCAAAACTGCACAAAAAGTCACTCCACAAGTCTGTACAGCAAAGCTTCTAGACAAGCGGCCAATCCTGCTGGATGCGCTGCGACCTTATGGAAACCAAAAGCAGCTGACTGAATTGAAAAGATCTCATCAACAAGTCGTTGTCACAAAACATGCTCAGCATAAGCTTTCAACCAGTGCAAAAAGCTGATGGAGCATCGAAGTTTGCATATCCGCTGATTTTGTCACCCTCTCCTGCAGCAGCGCTATCCAAACATTTTGCACATAAAAAACTTTTGGCTAACAAATCAATTTCCCAATTTTCAAGACAATTCTCCCTGTGCATCAGCTGCTAGACTATATCCTCCATTGGAGGACAGCTCAAAAACACACTGTGCGCTGTCGTCGCAGCACCTGCAGAACTTGATAGTTGGAGGGATCCAGAAATCCTTCAATACCCGCTGCACAAATCGAGCTATCAAAGGCGAGCAGTTCCATGTAATTGCAACAGCTTGCAAGCTAGGGAGCCAGCTCAATTTGGCAAGTTTGCAAATAATTCTCGCAGGAGGTTTTGCCTTAGCTCGACGAACGGACTGGTGGCATCAAGTGCTCCTTCTGCATGCTGCTACAACATGGCACAACCAAGCGGCAGCATCATCTTTGCCAAGTTACAGGGTTTTAGGTAAGGTGTTTGCGATCCAGCGTTGCAATTTCCCTGCACACAGGGCAGTCGGCGGAACAAATGTCGGGATGCTAAAATTTGCTCCTCTTACTCCGCTTGCAATGTTCCTTCTCACTCTTCAAATTATTTCTTTGTAGTGAATAGAAGAGCATGGCCTGATTTCGGGGGAAGTAGGTCATGCACACCAACTCGTAGATCCGAGAGACCTGGACATTGACAAGGATGGACAGGCTTTCATAGATGAACAAGGTGCAAAATCACCAAGAGGCAACGCGCAATTTCCTGGATGCTATCAATGCACAATTGTACAAGTCCTACTGCCACATCTCCAATATCATGAAGCTCCAGCAACAAGCTCTGGGCACAAGGTTCGTCGTCTCTATTTTCTTGAGACTTGAAGTCCCACGCCTCACGGACCGAATGCAACTCTCCTTGACATGTGTTTCCTTTGGAGACAAACAAAGGAAGACTCCACAAAGTCATCAGAGCATGTCGACGCATCAAACTCTCCCACAGAGTATAAGCAATATAACTGTAACTAGTACGGGAGGCTAATACTCAGTCGTGAATGCCGAATCGAAAGCACCTTTCTACAAAGTGACAAATGTATGTAACATAGTGGTAACTGCCGGTGGCTTTGTGCAAACCAAACGACAAAAGGATGAAAAGAAGTTCAAAAGTGTTAAATCCCAGGCACCTCATAGCCAAGCCCACTAAGGTGGTAGACAAATGTCGTTGATGCCTTGCGCATGGCCATAAAGAACAATGACAACATAAAGCAAAATGCTGCGGGAAAGTATTGGTACACCCTTACATGCAAGGCAGCTGATGCACCTGCGTGACTAGTTTCAGGACTCTAAGCCTGAGACGGCCTCATCTTGGGCATGAACGATGCTGGGCAGAGCCTGAACGAAAGGTACCAACACAAACTCTATCATTGGTATAGTAGACTTTAGACGAACTACATACTTTGTATGTTTATACATATACATTATACAGTGTATATATATATTATACAGTATATATATATTATACGGTGTGTATATATATATTATACAGTATATATATATTATACACTGTATATATATATATATTATACAGTCTATATATATTGTACAGTATATATATATACATTATAAAGTTTGTATATATATATTATACAGTATATATATATTATACAGTAATGTCAACCGTAACCCCGGATTAACAATAAAACAATGTTTATTAATTAGGGTGGTGGTCCCCTAGTGGTCACAATCTGAGATATACTTAAATAGTACCCCCCCCCAATTAAAAAGCCTAGGGGGTTATTCATCCAGGGTTGACATTGTATAAATATAATATTATATATATACATATAATTGTATATATAATTGTATATAATGATATTTATATATAATCATATATATAATTTTATATAATATCATTATATGTATATATTTATATAATGATATATACAAAAATACATTTAAGCTGCTTGAATTACTATGTGCAGCAATCCTCTCTTGTGGTACTTCATGTTTGCTCAACTTCTTGGGGCCACCACCACACTGGCATTGGCAGGTGAAGGGATCGCAGGATCATAGTCAATTGCTGCCTGCGTCATGCACCAATGACGCAAGAAGGCACTAACAAGAAACCGTTCATGTTGCGGCTTGAGCTTTTGAGTCACTTGCAAGCTTGCTAAACTAGATGAACAACTGGATGAACATAGCTGAAAATAGTACATAATGACGGTATAATGACGGTATAATGACAGTAATCACACTCGGCCTTGCAGAATTGCAAGTACGGTTGGACCTGCCCTGGCTCTGAGCATTGCCAGACCTGGGTTGGGAGCCATTTTGAGCATTTTCCGGGACATACGGTGACATACCCAACAACGTAGATTTGATGAATAACAAGCAAGGTTTGACGTTTTCTGGATGACATGTCTTGGTCCCTTTCTTCCCCTTGGTCCCAAACCAATCCAGCAAGGCGTGGCAAGTCGTTCAATCCAGGAGTCAAAGGATTGGTGCACCTGCTGTCGCAATGGTGGACAGAGGATCTCTCACAAGGAGACCTTTTGACAAACATAGGGCCTTCTTAAATAGTAACCAAATGTAACCAAGAGATCGGATTGTCCTTCATGACCCACCTCGTTGAGACGCAGTACAGTTGGAGCGTAGTGACAACCCACTTGAATGCAACATGAATATCTTCAATCAGACGGTAGAGACTTGGCCTGTTCTTGATGCAAACGGGGTTGTTGGTGAAGACCTGTTCGCCTGAGACGTGTGACACAGATTGACACAGGATATATAATCGGCCTGATCGCATTCTGACAGTTCCATTTCACATGCTGCAAGCAAACAAAAGCATTGATATGCGGATACGCCGTGATTCACGGACCGGCTGGTGCTTGCGGCCTCCTTGGGAGGTTGGAGTCAAATGAACCTGTCAAATGGAGGGCTGGTGAACTTGCCAGATTTGTCAATCTATCCACTTCTGACCACCATTCTCCCCACCATTCTCCCCACCATTCTCCGCACCATTCTCCACCATTCCCAAGGGAAGGCCTGAGTAGCTTCAGTGGAGACAGCGGAACCTACCAGCAGGGCTGCAAACATCTCTTTCCTCCTCGGTGCAACGGTGAAGCGTCAAAGCATTGTCTGTCTGGAATCATCGAACTACCGGGAAACCAGTATCAGTACCTGTTGTGGTTGCTGTAGTTGTTTATCATCGCAATAGTGGAATCACTTCGATTGCAGACTGGCATGCAAACAAGATACAAATAATACATATCACTATACATATATATATATATATCATTCTCTATAGAATGTACACATCTCGCCAAGACCCACCAATGTTGTCAATATCTGGTTTTTGCCCACTTCTGGACATTGCGCAACATGCAGGTTGATTTTGGCTATCTTTCCCTCTGAGGAACTTGCAATGCAATCCTTCTGTGTCGTGTGCAAAAAAAAGAGTTCACCTCAGTCGGAAAGAGCAATGTATATGTCTGTCTGTGTATTGTGTATCCGTGTGTGTGTGTGTCTATGTGGTGTTTGTCCGTGTATGTTTGTGTGGTTGCACAATTGTATGTTTGGAGGCAGAACCGCCAAATCAATTCATCCAAGAGTCTATCCGAATAAAGGGTGAGGCAGTTAGCCTCTATGGACAGAGGTCTACCCCCATATCAACCAGCCAGAAATGGCTTCGATGGCGCGCCAGTGCAGGTGCTCAAGCGCGCAAAATGAACTCAAAATCCATTTTCTGTGACATGAGCTCGCTCGTCTAGTGTCTAGAATCGTTAGAATCTAGTGACTTGTGCCCTCCCGTGCATCAAGATATATTAAGAATTATTAAGATGAGTGTTCCTTTGCAGGTTAATCAACCTTGCAGACTTGCAGCTCCGAACAAATCTGCAATTGCAGGTGACCTTGCCGCCCTTGCCCTTGTCCGGTAGGCCCTGCAATTGGAAATGGGAAAGGTATGGAAGGTTAAGATATTCTGGAAAGAAACACTAGACTTCACTAGACTTCACTAGACTTCACTAGACGTCCAGCACATCCAGGGGCGCTCTCACAAGAAACCCTAAGCATCAAAGTATGCAGATTGGCCTTCTTCCCTTTGACTGCCTCAAGGCCCTCGAACAATACAATTCACCGCAAAGTGCGCACCGAACGCATCAAATTCACGTGGGCAAAGTCTAAACGTACGTGCCTTTCCACCTTTACCTTTCTCCATTTCTTTACCTGACAGAAATTGTGCAAAGAGGCATCACTCTCTCCGATCATCTCCGATCCTGAGTGTCCAAGCCTTTGCCCTTCATTCCCTTCTCGTCTCCTTTTCCCTTTCCTTTGCCTGTGGCATGACACAAGGAAAGTTCATCAGGAATGTATGTTAGCTTGAGGACAAGAGCGCGCCTTTTTCAGGACCTTTGCCGTAGCCACCTGCAAAAATTCGCTAAGGACAATGCTCAATAGTGAGGTGATTGAAGAGATTCCGCCTTTGTCATACCTATCGTAGCCCTTGTCGTAGCCCTTGTCCTTAATCCACCAAGACAAGTAAAGCAACAAACTATGGAAGCAGAACGATCAACTTGAGAGGACTGGGGTGGACGAATTTAGGTTCTGTTGGATCAGGGGCAAGTTTTGAATTCTGGAGAAACAAAAGGTATGAAAGATTCAGCATAAGTTGTAACATCCAAAAAAGGAGGGAAGTCTCGGCAACGTATGCAATGGCTGGTCTTCTCCGGACAATGTTTAAAAGGACAAATCTTTGGTCGGGACGTGTTACACAATACCGTGCCGCCTTTTGACAGAGAAATGAAAGGCATAATACCAGTTTTTGCCTTTGCATCTTGACAAACTAGGCTGTCCTACTGTTTGTTAGCAGGATGGTGATGATGATGATGATGATGATGATGATGATGATGATGATGGTATGGCATGGTATGGCGGTGGTGATGATGATGGTGATGGTGATGGTGATGGTGATGATGATGGTGATGATGATGATGATGGTGATGATGATGATGATGATGATGATGATGATGATAACGAAGATCATAACAAAGATCATAACGAAGATCATAATGAAGATCATAATGAAGATCATAACGAAGATCATAACGAAGATCATAACGAAGATCATAACGAAGATGATGGTGATGGTGATGGTGATGGTGATGATGATGATGATGATGATGGTATGGCATGGTATGGCGGTGGTGATGATGATGGTGATGGTGATGGTGATGATGGTGATGATGATGATGATGATGATGGTGATGGTGATGGTGATGCTGATGATGATGATGATGATGATGATAACGAAGACCATAACGAAGATCATAACGAAGATCATAACGAAGATCATAACGAAGATCATAATGAAGATCATAACGAAGATCATAACGAAGATGATAACGAAGATGATAACGAAGATGATGGTGATGGTGATGGTGATGATGATGATGATGATGACGAAGATGATGGTGATGATGAAAATGATGAAAATGATGAAAATGATGAAAATGATGAAAATGATGAAAATGATGAAAATGATGAAAATGATGAAAATGATGAAAATGATGAAAATGATGAAAATGAGATTGGTGATGATGAAAATGAGATTGGTGATGATGAAAATGAGATTGGTGATGATGAAAATGCGGATGAAAGTGGGGAGTAAAATGAGGAGGACGCGGATGGGGACAAGGATGATGATAAGGATGATGACAAGGATGAGGGTCATGATGATGAGGAAAATGACGAGGGTCATGATGATGAGGAAAATGACGAGGGTCATGATGATGAGGAAAATGACGAGGATGAGGAGGATGAGGGGGTGCGGTGCTGCTGCGTGAGCCGACTATCCTCCGTCTGGGCTGGTGCTGCTATTAATTAAAAGCCCTGTTAGAATGGCCGGCGAGCAGGGAAAGCATGTGAAACCTTTTGCTAGCACTGATTTTTAGTCAAACTTAAAACATGAGGCAGCACCTTTTGTTGGCCAGGAAAAGAAAAACGGTAAATGCACGAACATGCGTAGCACGAAAGGACCGCAGACCCAGCCACAAGTACTAAAGTACATTGAACTCAAGTAGCCTAGGCTACCTTTCGTGATTATGAACCACAACAACAATGATAATAACAATAACAATAACATGCGCAAAAAAAGAGGAGCTGCTCAGTCCTTTGCAGGCACACAAATGTTGTGCGGTCAAAAATGAGAGTGTTGGTCTTAGTCTATAAGTTCCTGACGTAAGGCTTCTCGTAGCCTTTCTCGTAGCCCTTGTCCCAGCCCTTTCCTGTGCATCTGCTAAGAATCTTTGAGCATCGTTGAGCGCTTTGTCTTTTGAGCCGTTCCGGGTCGTTCGATTTTGATCATTCCGAATCGTTCCATTTATCCTCTGGTCGGCCATGTCTACAGTGCCGACTACAGTCTCCTCCTCCAGAACCTTTGTCGCCCTTCCCCCAGGCTGGAGCTTGGGAACCGTACCTGCAAGTTTTAAATCTCAGCGACTTCAAAATAAATTTCAAGAAACTGAAAGACCGTCATGAGTCAAAATGATTCACCAATGGCTCAAGCATAAAGCAATGGGGTTGCCAGAAATTCTCTGCTGGAGCAGGTCGAGCTGGCTTCCCTTGACCTTTGCCTGGAGAACCCCAGCCTCAGTTTGGAACTGCGTCGTTTCAAGTTTTTCAAACGGCTACCATCGGCTACCCAAAAAATCCAAATCAGTGAGAAAGGCCCCAACTCTCGGCGCCACCTCCGTAGCTAAAGGTGCCCTTTGGCGAAGCCTTTCCGACGAATGACCAGAGGCGGCTTGGTTAGTTTCCGCGCCAGGGTCTCGGGCATGTTGCTGAAACAAAATGATCTAACCGGTTCCAAAGTCCACAGAAACCAATCAATTTATTTGGCAACCAGTACAAACGCAGGTCAAGCCTTGCCCATCGCTCCTTTGTCCATGCCGGGGCCACTAGCAGGTTTCTTCATTGACCTTTTGAGCACAAGACAATTCAATGCACAAATGCAAAAACAAATAAAAACAATATACTGAACATCTCGCTGAATGACGTGGTGTTTGGAGTGAAAATGTGCAAATGATATCAAAAATAATGTCTGCACTCAACGCGTGTCCATAGCTCAGTTGCACGCATGATGGCGGGATCATTCAAATGAGGTGAGGCTCCTTGGCCTGCACCACCTTATGCAGTTCAAATCAAGCTCAGTTCACGGGGTCCACTTCACAAGCATTGCTAGGTTCCCTGCTGCCTTCTAGAACAGTCAAATCCTTGATGTCCTGAAAACTGAAGAGTAGTGGACCTGAGGGACCTCAAACCATGTTTTTTCCGTCTTTCAGATCCCAAAATGTAGTCAGACTTTGTTTGACTTGGTCAGATCAGCTATTCTACACTGCACCAAAATCAGAAGAACTTTGAGGATAAAAACCCCATAAACCTTAACACCTCAGCTGAATAGACAAATTATCGTCTACAACACAAGACCTGGAAGGGCTAATGGAACGATTAGACGATTGGACTGTCTGTATTGTTTCGTGAGTAAACATTGTGCCTGGCCGTGACAATCAATGACTAAGATGCGACAGCATTGCATATGTTTAAATAATTACGATGAACAAACCTACCATGAAATAATGAAAAATGGTGAAAAGTAGTATGATCGTCAATTAACCAGTTTGTCTTGCAAAATATGCAGCACTGTTCGTCCAGTGAATGTGGCAAGGTCCTGCCCTCGGAAGATGATGAAATCATAAATTTCGCTCGATGGAGGGATCTCTGGCACCTGCGATTTAAGAGCAAGCAATGCCAAGAGCACGTTCAATTTTTTTTGGCCCCACCAAAATGCCAAGTGCCACTTTTAAAAACAAAATTTAACTCAAAAACGCGCCTTTCTGCCTTCCGTGCCAAACGAACGAACTGACCTCGAAGGGCGAACATAGTCAAAAAACATGCAATGCTGCAACATGACGATACGCAACGTTTGAATTGTTTAATTTAGACATCTTGAGCACGAGACTGCAAGGCAATCGTGGACTCTTGGGTGTTGATAGTGTACAGGATGCCCTGCCAAACTTGTTTTCGGCAACTATTTGGTTGGGCACTTTTTTTGCCACAATCAAATCAGCTGTCAATTTTTTTTGGCCTCGTATCGGATGTTCGAATTTGAAATCAAGCTGATCTTGCTGCCAATGTACCTGGATATGTGGGACGTTTTATACACTGCTCAGCGGAATATACATTGCGCAACATTGCGCAACCAAGGTGCGGCATCGTGCTGCTCGCCATGGTGCCTGTGACACAGGGGTTCCTCCTGGCAAGTGTTTGCCACTGAAATTGCCACTGAAATTGCCACAATTTGCAAAAAAATGAATTCATTTATGAAGCGCATCTGTCCTGGAAATGGGGGGGCTTTAACTTTGGGCTTTGCCTGCCCCCCCTTGCAGCTACTTCTTTGAACCAAAATGTATCGGACACAACATGAAATACTTTAAAAACACGTTTGTTGCATCCTAAAAAACTATGTTTTTTGCAGGAAAGTGTTGCATTCAACCAATTTCGTCCGGGAACTGTGCCAGCAACCACCATAAAGCAAAGTGGAATGTTGTGGAAAAATGCGAATGGATGCAATGATCACAAATCATTCTGAACCATCAAAAAATAATGACACCATCCCACACATCATTTTTTTTCCATCTGCCTCTGCGGCTCGAAAACTGTTGTTTTGGTTATGAAAAAAAAACGTTTCAACCCATTTTTCCCAATAGCGATAGCTTGGGGTTGCTAACTCTAAATTTAAAGGCAGACGGGTGCCGTTCGGTCCACGGCTGCCAGCCTGGGCGGTGTCTCGGTCCCAGTGGTGTGTCTCGCTGGTGTCTTGGTCGTGTCTTCGTGGTGTCTCGCTGGTGTCTTGGTGGTGTTTCGGTTGTTTATCTCCTTTGAAAACGCTGGCTGCGAATATGCACTTGAAAACTGTGACTTCTGAACTGCACTGACAAGTGAACATCATCTGAACTTCACTGCAAATTGCAACGCTAAATGAACATCATCTGAATCGACTGAAGTTGTTGCCACGTTTTTTTCAACCTTTGGGTGAGATCTCAGACCTGTCGTCTCCCCACTTTCCAGCAAGGTCAGTGAGTCTCACCCAAAGGTCTTCACCATCTACTTCACATCTTTGAGCTCCCAAGCTTTCAACTTTCTCGCAAGACAACCTGGAGGGCCCGTCAGACAAATTGGAGTCCGTTGGCACACGAGCGTACCACGGTGTGATCTGCTTCAAAGTTTCCAAGGCCATGGTGGCCACCAGAATCTGCTTCGCCACAGGATTGCGAGTTGAACACGCTATCAAAGTATCACGCACTCCATTGTTGTCTGTGTAAATCACAACAGCGCCATTCACAGCGTCACCCCACAGGAGGAATGAGGCAAAAAGAGAGAAAAATTCGCACTCATAAATGGCCGTCTTTCTGGATGATGGATTCAAGCACTTCACAACTGACGGCGTCAACCTGTGTGAGAAAAACTTGACTGGTTGACCTGTAGGGTTGAAGAGGACTGCACCAATCCCCGCCATGACTTCATCTTCCATGCTGTCGTAGCATGCGTCATTCTGAATGAACCAAGGTTTCTCAGCCGCCGCTCTCAACTCGCGGGGCTTTCCAAGCTCCAAAAATCGCCTGTGCAGTGAGAGGGAGAAAGCTGTCTCTTCAGACAAAGAAGAACCATTGGAATTGTATGCATGCCATGAAACTGCCGCCAAAGCACACTTGGCGATCCTACCAAACACTTGACCTGATGCAAATTGCAGTCTGCCTCGCAGTCTGAGCGCCTCATGCCGAACAAGCTGTTTCTTCTCAATCACCTTTGTAATGAACTCGATGAGCTCGCGTCGTCTGTTGTCAGTGTTGCCCACTGTGACAAGTCCTACATGCAACGATTGCACGCAAATGCTCACACCCAGCGCCTGAAACAGCTGGCTGAACTCAGGTGCTTTTTCGCCCGTCTCGGCAAATGCCCAACCAAGAAGCTTGAAGTACATCTGGATGCACGAAGTCACTGCGGATCTCTCTGAGTCCTTCGAAAGAGAGACAAAGTCGTCAAAGTAATTTGTCATCAACAGCTTGAACTCTTTGACAAGAACATACCAAAGGCTGTGTGATATCCGCAGAAAAGAGTGTACTGAGCAAATCGATCCAAAGGGCAACGCTCTCATGCGAAACGCCACAAGCTCATGGCTCTGAGGGTGCTGAACCATGATGTAGGAAAAAGGTGCAGATGAAGGTCTCACCGCACACTGACGGTAGGCGCCTACCAGGTCAAAGGTCCTGCCATACCATTGCTCACCTTCTTCAAGTTCTGACATCAGTTGGACGCACAACGCAGCAAAAACGTCCAAGGTGTGGGGCTTCGGGCTCTCGCAAGACTGAACACTGCTGTTCACACTGGACCTGGAGAAATCATCAATACATCTCACTTTTGCACCCTGTCGGATGCCAAACCTTCTGCTCAAGGGATATTCAGGTGGAACCTGATCAAGAGGGATGGGGCCAACCAAAGCGCCAGCCTCAACTTCTTGCAGCGTTTTCTGCCAAACTTGATCACCAATGTCTCCATCACAAAGCCCAGTAAATTGTGCTGCAAGACCATTGCGTTCTCTGCAAGCTATGTCACGCAACTCATCCAGACCAACCGACGCTGGCTGAAACTTTGTTGGCCAAATGCCTGTCTTTGCAATGCACCCCACAAGCTCGGTGCCGTTTTTCATTTCCTCGACAACCCCCATATCGGGGTAATCTACTGCTTTCAGCATTTCCTCCCAAAGCAAGAGGTTTTTCTGTCTCACAATTTTCACGACTTCTTCATCCATGGATTGCTTGAGTCTCTCTTCATCGGCCTTAAGTTCAACAAGCCGACGCAACCAGTAGCCCAAACGTTGGGCTCGATACTGAACAATGTTGTGCACCTCCATTGACTTGTAAAACTCAATTGTATCTTGCAAAACCTCAGGCAACCCGGCCGTCAAAACTGCTGGGTGACCAAACTTCACCATCTGCTTGATGAAGTCGTCTTCTGTCCACGGGATGCCCCAAACTTGAGTCTCACATGAACCTGTCTTCAGATTTGACACGTTGTTGCAAAGAGCCACAAATCTACTCACATCGCTCTCATTGATCTGCTGTTCCGAAACAATAGCCCCCCCCTGTAAACAAGAGGAAGGCAGCAGTGGTGGTGTAAGTTGCAACAGTTTGGCTCCTTTTGGCAAAATGGTTGGGGCATTTTGCGTATTGATCTTGATCGGTGATGGCACTTTCTGGTGGATGCCAAACTGTGGCAAGTCGGTTCGGAAACCTGTCAGAGCAATCTTGCAAGAGTAAACAGGTATCAGTGGGGGCAATTTTGAAGCCTTAGGTTGCAGGCCTGTCTGGGCGCGCATGGCTGACAGGGACAGGTTATCAAGCTCACTGATTCCTGAGAGTGCTTCTGGGGGCATACGGATGCCTCTCCTTTGCAGTGCCAAGACAAATTGCGCTGCAATGATTCTTGCAAGACCCATTGGGTACGCAGTCTCCAAGGAGGTTGCAAACTTATTGGAACCTTTGTGAATGCCCCACGCTTCATGTTTGTGCGACTGTGAGGTTCCAACGCATTGCTTGTTAATAACTGCAAATTCCTCAACATTGAATCCAAGCATTGTGCGCTTTGGTCTGCGACTTCCATACATGCAACTGTGAAAGACTGTAAACCGCATCAAATGAACAACTTGTTGAATAAACGTGGTCTGCCAAAACAAACTGAACTGAGGATTCTCAACTACAAAGAAACATCCATGTTCCACCGCCCATTCTATCAGCTTTGCTGTCAAAAAGTACAACTTGTTGGCCTTGGAGATTTTCAGGCGACCAATGAAACTGAGGCCTGGCAACCCGTTGGGGTGCTCATTGGATCGCAACGGCTTTGGTGCCGGGGGGTCTCCAAGGTGCTTACGTTTCAGCGGTATCGACCTCGCTCTGGAAGCAGATCCACATGGTGGTGCTAAGAAGATTCCAATGACATTTTCATTGGACAGCCACTGCATCAGCAAACTAACGCCAGCGTCTGTTGTAAGGTCTGTAACTGCAACAGGAGCCATTGCCTGTTTATGCCGTAAATGGTCAGTGCCAAAAGCATTGATCATTCCAAATCTTTTCAACTCAGCCGTAACCCTTGAGGTACCTGAGAAAACTTCAATAATCATGCAATCGCTGAGGCCCGCACCGACTGCAACAAGGGCGTCGATGCGGTTTGTCCGTCACTTGGCCTTTCCATCATGATCCTTTTCAGGGTGAGGTGCATGGCATCCTTTTCTGCAGCACAAGTGCCAACCGCGGCTGCACTCAGCACCATCTGCCGCATCAGAACATTTTCCAACCTGATAATTGAAGCAAAGCCGACGACCATGTAAGTCCATGTTGGTGTTGTCTCTGCCCAACAAAAACTTGGGCATAACTCCCTTTCCATTCTTCGACTTGCCCTTTGCTCCAGATTTGCCACCTTTGCCCTTGTACGGCTGGAAGCGGTTTCCTTGCCAATTGTTTCCTTTTCCTTGACTCGGAGCACTTCCAGATGGCGCCCCAGATTGGCTGTCGGCACGCACTGACATCTTGGGCAATGGCAACAGGTGAAAACCAACCTCATAAGATTGCAAAGCTTCAAAAATCTTCTGGTCAAGGTCCAGCGAGTTGTCTGACAAGCGCTTCAGCTGGGCCCCTGTTCGAATCAAATACATGAACACCTGCCGATCGGCCTTCAAGACCTGCTGCAGCGTTGGGCGCATATAGTTTTGTGGGGGATCCATTCGAAGGTGTGACGTCAATTGTTGAAGGTATCGTTCATGACATTCTCAAGACAAAATGTCTGCGAAGTCCATCGCAACTCCACGACGTCTCAAGGCCTCAAAGGCCTGAAGCTCACTGCTGTGATATTGGTCGGGAACGTCAGACTTTTCCCGAACTATCAGCTTTTCTGTATCCAAGGAAAGTTGTTTCTTCGTCTTGCCCATAGTTATCTCCCACTCGCGAGACATCAAACGTTCCAGCTGTATGTAACACAATTGGTTTGACTCCTTCTGCTGCATCATCGCCTCCAAGAGCTCATGTGAGGGCTCCAGTTGGCGTTCAACCACAACGCCATGGAGCTTCAACTTCAACTGCTGCATGCGGTGCTCGCGCTCCACAGCTGGTAATTTTCTCGTCGCAGCTGCATTGGGATCTGTTACAAGTTCCCGCAACTGTCCAAGCACCATTGTA